ACTCTAAACAATAATATAGATTTTGGTTCTCTAGTTATATGGGTTCCTTTTATAGGATTGTGGATATGTTTTTAAGGTGTCTTTATCTGATCTCGTTTTTGGACATACACTCTTGACATATCACACGAAGATAACCTTATAGAAGTTCTCCACGCTTTTTGTCTTTCGTTTGTCTAGTTTCGTCTTATTTACTATATTTTCAAGTTCTCTTCTTTCTCTTAATCATTTTGATGGTTCAAGAATGAATGTTATTTGAAAAAGAGAATTATAGGACGACAATCAAACAAGTTGGTAACTCCGAGTTTAAAAAGAACCAGAACAAATTGCCTAACAAATTTCTAATCATGATGAATGACGAGTTATTGGATGAGTTGCATGGGGTTGTAGTATCCTCCAGATTGACTTGATGACAAGGAACCAATAAATTCGGATGCGGCAAGAGAATGTGCACAAAATTGCATTTCAAATTCATGAGGGTCACTATGAATTTCTCATTAATGGAAAGGGTTGTCAGATGAGGATGACATGTGAGATCCATACAACTTTATCCAACACAGTTTTTTTTTGTCCACCTTAAAGACAATGTGTCTTTTGAGAAAGGAGTAATTTTAGACCAACGCCAAGCTCCGCCAGAGAATTTGAGGACTAATGCTAGGTGCAAGGCTAAAAGGGCAATTTAGTCAATTTTTAGTTATTATTATGGTGTATGAATAGGGCTTATTATGCTTAGGGTTAGGTTATGCATGTGTGATTGTTGTCTTGAATCATAGGCTTAGATTTTGGCAGAGATTGTCTACCTCTCAAAATATAATTGTTAAAGTTAGGGTTTGGGAGAGATTGTCAAACTGTAGGTGCTTATCTTTTATGTGTTTGTGTTGTGTTATATGGTATTATTGAAGTAAAATATTTGGCTGCCCAATTTTTTGTGTAAACCATTGGTTCCTATCGATATGCTTCACTTTATAGTCCATGTTTTTAAAAACCCTACATTTGGATGCCTAGGTTTTAATTTGTGATTCAAATAGGCCCCACAAAATAGCATTATTAGATATTATGTCAAATCATAAATATCCTTCACAGAATATGGTCATTGACCGCAAAGATCATGGTTGGAGTTCTACCAACACTTTGCAACTCATTGCCTCAATCGAACATATTGAATCTTCTAGTCCTCTACTATTAGGGAAACGAAAGTTGGAAACTCCATTGTAAGACCAAGCAATGTAGTTTAGCAAGCGGTTGTTCCTCTAATCACCTCCAAGTTGCTTCAAAATGTTTATACATCTATAACCTTCAAATCCAAATTTTGTTATTTCTATAACTTTTTAGGATATTATAGCCCAATATAAAACCTTGCATGAAATATGTATATGTTATAATCTATATATTATTTATGATTTATTCTTGAACGAGGAATCTATGGTTTTGACTCAAATTAATCTTCTTTTCAAGTTTTTGAGGAACGATCTCTTTATCTGTGTATGACTTTTGTGTGATGTTTGCATATTGTATCCAGTTCATTGACACATTTCTAGTTTCCTTATCACTTTTCATGTTTATCAGAGAAATACTGAAGGTTCAATGACTTTAAACTGATTATGGAGATGAATTGCACTATGACAAGACGATGAGAACATTGTGGAAGCCAAACATTCAACTAATACTCATAGGCTTGATCACACAAGGGGGCTTAACAGCTAAGTTTGTCTTAGCTAGGTTTTAGTTGTCACTTCAAAGTCCGAGAGGTAGAACCTAAGGTAAAAGACTGAAGTCACATACCAAACAACACTAGAGACCCAAATGTAGAGACTTCAAAATTGTGGAGCAATGTGATAAGTGCCCTAAATATCAAAGACTAGTATGTTATTTACCCAAAAAAATGTATTGACTTCCTAAGACCAAGGAATACATTTAGTAATTGTCATCAATAAGTGTATAACCAAATATAAAGTTTGGGGACAAGATGAAGGGACCATGTGTCATGATCCGGCCGAGGAGTTTGGAATTACCAATGCAGGAAGAGACGGTAGGATGGTGAAATTTATATTTAGTTCCATGTTCTATCACTAATAACTAACAGTCCAAATAATTGAAAGAATCGCTAACAAAATAAAATTTTAATTCAATTTAAACATAAAATAACTATGATAATAATTAGATTGCTCTAACTTTGCTGCATTTTTTATTAGCAATTTCTCCTCTGTTACTTATTTTCTTGTCCAATGCATAACCATGAAAATATTATTTTATCATGGTAAGTATTGTTCCTAAATTTACTGTAGCATATCGAAATAAACGAACAATATGCATGTTAGTTAAACACGGTAAATCAATATAGAATATATTAGTAGTTTATAAAATTAAAATGATCATTCAAGTGATTTCAAAATATTATATTATTCAATATGATATCTAATTTTATCAATATCCTTTTATATATACATCCATCATTGGAGCTTCATCTAAATTGTATCAATTAATGAAAATCAATATCAGTATCATTTTCTAGTTTACGTGTATGTATTCCTTAGTATCATAAGATAGTGAACTTCATCAAATAACATATAGATATAGGCATTATGTACGGGTCATCTTATTCACATATACATATCATTTCATATATTTCTATAATAATTTAAAATATATGATGAAAGTGTATACATGCTTAGAGATACATTTGATATAAATTTCGATATGACTAATACATCTAATAATTAGTTAAATCATGATTAAATACGCAAAACTCTATCTAAACAATCACTAAATTCATTAAGTTAGAAGAAAAATCAATATTATTACTATACTACATAAATATGAGTAGTCACCTAAATGCTAGATTATTTGATTTTGTCTTTTACTCTATAGGCCCCGACTCCTTCAATGAATAACGCATAAGATAAAATAATCATTTTGATTATTTTTACTAAATTTTAATTAACCATCACTTATTCAAATATATGGATTACCATTTTTACCTAATACATTTCTTAACATACTGTTATTAGTAACTAATTAGATTTGATATTATACTATTAAAACTTTATATGAATATGGAAATATTTTACAGCATAACTTCACCTATAAATATACATATGTAAATACATTAAATTAATTAATCATTATTGTATTACTTAAATAATTACTTCAAACAAAATTAATTAATTTAATATTTGACATCATGTCACAATTTAATTATTATTTAAAATTACCCGATCATAATACTTAGAATTCATCAATTAAATTTTCAACTATAACAACTATTAAGATTAACTTCTAATAATTTTATTCCTAATTATTATTTTAATGATTTAAATTTTATTTTTAGGTATACTTATTTTAAGAAAATTAAATGAGGTTAGATTTACCTTTTGTTTTTATAAATATCAAATCTCAATAAAATAGAGATTTTATATTTTGAATTTTTCCTTCCTGATATATCTTCATTTCCATACAAAATCCCTAACCTAAAATTTGCTTAGAATATATTCTAAACCTAGGGCTTCCCAAAAAAAAAAAATCTTAATAAATTTATGTGTCTATGTTTAGGATAAGAAATATTAACTTCCCACAACTAGATTCAATCCAAAATGGTTGGTTCACCCATTTACTACTTCTAGCCGAGTAGCACACCTTCATTTGCTCCTGAGTCGATTCTCTATTACCCATGCGAGTTCACTGTCGCCAAAAGCTCACGCTCCAAATCTCTCAAGGTTGAAATGTTGTTTGCATGCATTGCTCTTGGTGTGCTCTCCAATTTTTGCTCAAGGTGACTCTTGTATGCTCGATCTCACACAACGTTCGAATGTTGCACTAACCTGCTCACTGCGCCACTCACTCGTGAATCCTCTCACTCGAGACCGGGCGCAAAGGTGCTTGATCAATCTCACTTCTTTTGCCAATCTCATTGCCTTCAACTCCCCTCTTCATATTCTTTGATTCACATCAGACTTGTAGTCTCCCCTCTCTTTTACTCTTATGGCGCTCAACTGCTTATTTTCACTTTGTATGTTTCACCGTCTCCTCCCTTTATCTCCTTTTTGATAGGCTAGCATCAGTTCAGTTGAACTGCTGCTATTTGGTTCCAATTGTATGGGATATTACACTAGAAAAACTTCCAATGAAACAAGGTGCAGAGCACTTAGAGTCATTTGCCCAATTTTGAAAGCCCGAGCTCAAAACCACTTGTGAAATTCCAAGTCCAAGCTCAAGAGGCTATCACGCAATTAAAAAGACTCAAGCTTAGAAAACACGCACGAAATTCAAAGCGCTCAACTTTGGAAGATACTCGTTCAGTTCAAAAGACACTTGCCCAGTTTAGAGGACTCGAGTTCAAAAGGCATTTTCCCGGTTGGAGGGCTCGTGTATGAAAGGTACTCACCCAGACCAAAAAGCACTTGTCCATTCAAAGGCTATGACTTATTTGTTACTCAATAAGACCAATAATGCCTTCACCAAGGCAACAATCCAAATGTATTCTGATAAATTTGTTTTCATATCTATAATGGATATGTAATGTATTCATTTATTATATTCAAATAAAGTGACTCCGATAGCGTCCAAAAGACTTATAAATATGAGGTTGAACGTTTGCATCAGCAAAGAAGATTCAAAACTCTGAATTTCCTAGTGAAGTAGTAGAATCTAATTTATCTCCGTCACACTTTTCTCTTTTCTTCTTCTGTCTCCTTTCCCAGAGTTCTGCTCAGACCACATGAGTTCTATAATTATGGTTAAGGAATCGCTACTGATGATTACACTGACAACATGCTAGGATAGTGTTATTAAAATGATTCAATTATATGAGCACACGTTATGTAAATCTTAGCATTATCTCATAAAAATATAATTGGAGAAATCACTTTTAAACTCTTTGTAGGTCTAAAATGAATGTTCTCATCATCCTACAAAGTATAAATCATTGTCATGGCATCATCTTTTATCTAGATAAAATAGAAAGGTCAAACAAATATGAGAGCAATAGCAGCATTTACTCGACATACAGTATTTCCAATAAATGCTGGAGAATTAGGAGGCTGGATGCAGAACTGGTATGAATGTTGGCCATCAATCTACTCATGACATGACAAAAACAACTGATAAATTATCTCAGAAAGCAAATTATTCTGGAATTAAAATAAGCAAAACACGATTTTAACAAAAAATGTACCCGTAGAGAAGCCAATAATGCCACAGGATCAATGACAGTGTCAGTAACGTATCTGCTACAGCGTGCCAATACAACCTAAGAAAAATCAACAGACAAATAAAATTATGTATAATATAGAAAAGTATAATTTTTTGTATAGGTAAGAGGTATTGCACTACAGAACGCCAACAATCTGAATTCCTATTTCAATGAATCAAGTTCAAGAAAACTAACATGGATGTTGAGATTCAGGAAAATATCAGAAAAAGATGAAAGAGCAATGATAAATATAACTCATGAATGAACTTTTACTTGGTTTTTTACTTCTTCCTAAGAAAAATTAGTCAAATACTGAAGTTGAAAGGTACTGTCTGACTAATAAGAGAGATAACCCTAACCTTTACTAGGCCTGAATTTCTTCTATTTATCATCTCCAGAGCTTTAGTAACAGAATCATTCCAGGATGCTTTATTAGGAATATGACTGCACCCAACAATACTAGTTCGGAGGATTGGCTGATCTAGTTTATCAAATCGTACTAACTGCATTACCAACAAATAGATTAGAATTGATCATCAGAAAATTGCCAGTCAGACCGCATCAACAAGGCACTTGAGCAGACCTTTTTCATTGTGGCTTGAAGCTCATGTATTGCTCCTTCCCAAGTCAAAAGAAGGGAATCATCCCAGGCAATGGTAGCAGCGAGCATAGAACCATCTTCAAACTCATCAAATTCAACCTGTTATTCACTTTAATAGCCAGGGCCTTAACTACAAACTAATAGATTATCATAAATTCATTTATAATCAGACACAATATGATAGCTAAAAATAGCAGAAATCAAATTACTGAAACAAAAAAGAAATAGTGACCTACAAACCTGTGGAATAATGAAGTAAAATGAGCCAAACTCCTTCCACTCAGTAGAAATATTCCTCTTCGCATCAAACCGAATGGCACCATAAGCACGAACGAGTGGGCAGTCATTATTGAGAAACCTTTAGAAAATCAGAGTTATTATTTCGCTTGTTTTTCATAAAGTCACTCCATTGAACTGAGTCTTAGAAATTTTGATTGGGCGTTTAGAACGAATCAATGAAAAAAGTACTTACGTTCTCCTGATTCAGAGTACGAGATGGGTATTCACACAATTCAAGCACAAAGAGTAGAGGAATATTCATAAATAAAACTTTCATAATACCTAAACTGGCCTTACATTATGGAGTGCAACAATTAAATTACCCGCAATACTAAGGGGACCTTATATATCAAGAAGATATCAACGTCAAATGATAATTTAATTTTATTTCTTTTTTTTTTTTTAATTCCAATCAGAAATTCTGATTGAAAATTTAGATCACGAGCAATGAAAAAGGTAGATAAAAGGATTCAGTCTTTCCATTTGAAGTAAAAAGAAAACATTTTAGAGTATTTTCAGAAAAACCAGATTTTAATTCTCCCAAATTAAGGAGAAAGCAAGAAAATCAAATACAGAGATTTTAAAATTTTATATTTACTATAAACAAGTGAAGTTTTCCGCATGGTATTGGTACCTCGGTATGTCATGCTTTCAACGTACATGAAAATCCAATCATAAATGAATACCATTGCATATACTGCTACATGTAATAAGTTCATATCTTTTAAAAAGGAGCAAAGGAAAATGAAGTTTCAAAGGCCTACAATAAAGATTGATTGCCCTCTTTCATAAAAAAGGGGCTTTCTCGTAACGTAAAGTACAAGAATAGAATTTATTTGAAGAGTCATTGGATCAATAATGTTTAGAAAAAGAAAATTAGATGCCATGATTCATAGCTTATAATGAAGTACTGTCTCATAGATTCATATGCAAAAAAGGAAAGAACGTGCCCATGGATCGCTCTAGTAGCATCAATGAGCTATCTCTAAATAATCAATCAAGAGACAACTGAAGGCTATTTTTATGTATGTTATTATAAGAATTTCTTTCTTACTTTTTTCTTATAATTTTGTATATAAAGACCCATTGAAAGAATAAACAAGCAAAGATTTCTTAGCCACTTCTTACTCATGATATCAAAATGAGGCTAGGGTTTTCTGCTTCAAACATTTATTGTCTCCACTCCTCCAATCCAATTCTAGTAAGAGCTCTTCCTTCTCTTCATTATGTTTGCATCCCTTCCAAGAAGTCGAGCATCACGAATGATAAAAATCATACTAAAGGAAAACTTGAGAAACTTCAAGCCTCATATTGTTTGAATGAGAAAAATTATCCAACATGATCTCAAATTGTGAAGACATTTCTAAAAGAAAAGGAAAAGATCAACCGCATTGTAGTTCTACCAATAAAACCAAAAGATCCAATATTTGTTTTAAATAAATGGATTTCATGATCACGACATAGTTACAGAATACCATGATGATGGTAGTTAGCGGGCCATACATTTTCCTATACTGCAAAAAAAAAATTGTGATGTCATCAAACAAATTTAATCAAAAGTAAAAAACGTTGCACTTGTCTACAAGATCAAAACGAAACTCTTCTCAAAAAAAAAAACAATTTCGCCTACATATCTTTGAATTTTTAATTTCATTAAGGTTTACTGGCTTGAACCAGATTATAAGCAATTTGTGAAAAGAGAGAGTATTTGAGTTGCTTATAGGACTCAATAATGTCTTTGATCAAAGTTTAAGTGCAAATATTAGGTAGAGAACTTTCATTCTCTAAAGTGAGATTTTTTCTCTTGTATGAGCTGAAGAAAAAAAACCATGATGTTCAATGATTTGATCTTTGAAACATCTTCCATGACGACCATTGAATACCAACGTAAGAGATTTGGAATTAAAAAAACCAAAGAAAAACAAAAGCCTCCCCTTAGCAATCACCAGTGCAACTTGCAATTAGAAAGAGCATGTCAAAGATAAATAATGAAAGTTTCATGGGAAGCTCCATTAGAAAGAGCATGTCAAAGATAAATAATGAAAGTTTCATTGGAAGCTCCAAGGCTATAATGGAAACAAAGAAGGGAACAAAAAATGACCTGTTTTGTGGAAATAGATGAACTCAACTCAGGAAAAAAAATAGAAAATTAGGAAATCTCCTCAATTCTTTGAAAAAGCCATCTAGATAATGCTCTCTTGCTCCAAATTGTACAACTTTCAACTCTTATGTCTTTAGTGTCTCTAATACACCTTTCCCAAACCTATATCCTCAATTCATGTGGTATTGACCACAAGACAAACATTGCTAATATTTTTCAAACCAACAAACCTTAGCCTAGTAGTATAAAAATAAAAGTGGTAGATGATTCCTTAATAATTGTTGCAAGACATGAAAATATCTCTATTTTTCTCAATTTTATTTTAGTAATGTATTACTTGTTCCTCACCTTATAATTAATATTTTATCAATTCATAAAATTATCAAAGATCATAAAAGCAAAGCCACATTTTTAAAGATTATTAAATATTTTAGACCCTCACAACAAGAAAGACAATTGGGCAACCTAGAAAGAAAAATGAGCTATATCTTCTTGAGGTGTTGAATTAATTACCATGCTCCATCTCCACTCGCAATACCAACATCATCTAGAAACATCATTATGGGCTTGAGCATTCCTCTTTTAGAACTGTTCAAAAAATGTTTTCTTCTATTTTCATAAATGTGAACATTAAGGACTTTTATTGTGAGACTTACAAACTTATAAAACATCATCATGTTGTTTTTTCTTGAAAGTATTTATAGATCCTACACTCCGTTTGTTTTAATTCACAATGATATTTAGAAATCCACCAACAACTCCATATTTTTGATAAAGTTGTGGGATTTATCATCTTCATTGATAATTGAACTCAAATGACTTGGGTACATTTCATCAAAAAAAAAAAAATTAATGATTAATGTCAGATCAACTACCGGGGGCTTTGAACAAAGAAGTTGTATTGAAAAATTTTCCTATCCCTATGATTGATGAGCTGTTAGGTCAACTTTATGGGCAATCACTTTCTCGAAAAATTGATCTTAAGCCGGGATACCACCAAATCAGGATAAATCTAGCTAATGTAAACAACATGGCATTCAAGACAGATGAAAAACATTGTAAGTTCTTTGTAATGTCATTCGACCTCACCAGAGCTCTAACCACATTTCAGTGTCTCAAAAATCAAATTTTTTTAGCCTTACCTCAGGAAAACGTCTAGGTTTTCTTCGATAGCATTCTAATCTACAATCATTCAGAGACAGAGCATGTGAGGCACCTGAGGATAACCTTGGAGAAATTGAGGGAGCACCAATTGAATGCCAACTTGAAAAAATATTCCTTTGCACGATTATATGTGGAGTAACTATGGCACTTTGTGACAAATGCAGAAGTAGCAGCGAACCAATCCAAGTTCGAGGTTGTGGTAGACTGGCCTTTACCAAAGAGTTTGATGGAGTTGAGAGGTTTCCAAGGTTTCACCGAATACTGCAGGAAATTCGTGAGGAGGTACGATACGATAGCATGGCCGCTGACAGAATAGTTTAAGAGAGAAAGTTTCAACTAGGCGGGGAGAAGCAACACGGGCCTTCAAACATCTGAAGAGAGTTATGACCAGCATTTTGGAATTAGCACTTCCAGACTTCATTATATCATTTGTCGTGGAAACGGATGAGTCAGGGTATAGATTGGGAGCAAAACTCATGTATCACTAGGAGTCAATTGCTTACTCTAAGAATATAAATTATCTTCAGAGAAAAGAGATGAGAAAATTTAGATCAAAGATTTTGTTTATTAAAAAAGTAATGTATGGATTTTAGGGCTTTTGGATCAAGATTTTGGAGGTTATATTTTTTAATTTCGTCACTCAAAATAAGAAATTATTTCCATAAATTAAGCTTTGATATGGATATTTTAATATCAATGAAGCATTAAAACCTTAGAAAGTTATATAGGTTATGGGGGAATATGTAAGAGATTTGAACAGGGCGAGGTGCTTTAAGCTTGACAAAAGCAATCATCCAAGTTTAGCTGAGTCTAAAATAAAGTAGACGGGAATTGTCCTGGGAGAGAAGAGTATCAGAGGAAAATTATATCTAAAGACCCACCAAAGCACAAGGGGATCCTCCACCAAGCTTCACCAAGCCATTCCAAATATTATTTGGGTATACAAAAGACAACTTTATTCAACAATTGTAAGAATATAAAGTATGGTTTATTTATAAGCCTTTCCAAGCTTATACTAGCCTAGCATAATTTGAAAATTTTAAAAAGCAAATAAACTATTTTTAAGTGGATTGATGACTTTTTCCTAATAGAAAGGGAAAGAAAATAAGTAAAATAATAACATTTAGAAGCTTCAATAAAAAAATAGCCGAGCTAAACAAGGCAAATGAAGTGAGCTTGAAAGCAACCGATCTTTGAAGACCTTCATTTCCTTGCTTGATATATGGGCCCTCCCATCAAAGGATAAAAAATTAAGCTTCTTAAATACTTTTTATTGTTTGGAGGGAAAATAGGTCGAATTGTGCATAATGATGAAGCCAAATATGAATGCAATACTTTAGTATGCGATCTTCACCTTTGTCTTAGTGTTTGTGTTATATCACAAGGATTAATTAATTGGCATGATTATGTGCTTCATGTATTCCTATTGTGTATTATACTGATTTAAGAAAAGAAAATAAGTGTTGATATGTTGTAATAGGGAAAGAAGCTAAATGAAATCGAGTACTAAGTTGATGTATTAGCAATGATGTATTAGCAAAATGATTAAGTTCCGAAATTTATTCTCTCGCTTGACATTTCAAAAAAACACAGAAAAATACTCAATTTTTGGACCAAAGGCTCTCTCATTGTCTTCCAACCAAATATAGTATAAATAATATTGTCTTCTCTCCTGAAACTCTGAACCAAAGGCTCTCTCATTTTTGGACTTTTCTCACCATAATAGGAGCGAATGGAGAAGATTTAATTTTCCATTCCATTTTTCAAAACTCTCAATCAAGAGAAACACAGGAAAAATCAACAGTCGCAACTAATGAAACAGAGAAATTAAGAAAACACCTTTTAATGCACTTCCAATCTTCCAAACTGAAAGGATTATATCCCCAAAAGGAAATGGTCGAGCCTACACCTGCAACACTAACCAGACATTTCTCATCAATGCCATTGTATCTGTCATGTTCGTTTCCCGAAAAGTCAGTAGAATGCACCCTCCTCTCTCCTCGACTAGAAAAGTAGCATCGAGGTAGAAAATGTTGGGCAAGTAACCAGTCAATGGCTGCGGCCTTCTCCATTATCGGCACCTACAATTCAATCAAAATGTGCTCATTCTGAGAAAACTCTTACCACATGCCCTCTCGCGAACTTAAAGTCCCCTTCAACGAGGAATCCAAATAAATGCCACACAATTCTTTTGTTTTTAGGTATCCCACACCTAAATTTTTATATTTACAAAAATAGAGCTCAAATTCTCAATATTGCATTAAAAATAATATAATTATCAATTTTTAAAAATGAAATACACATTTTCATATCTAACTTTAAAAAACTAAAATATTATGTATAAAAATATGTAAGTTGAGGTGTAAGATGTGTAAATACATAAAAATTGTGTGCTACATATGTAAATTTTCCTTTATTTTCTCAAATTCATTTTGAGGGGCGCTTTTATTTGGATACATATACATGCCTCTCAATTCTTATGAATTTACTTATCTAACACCTAAGCGTCAATTTTTACATTCACGTCACTTTACATATGCTATAAGAAAAGCATTTCACTTTTTAAAAGTGAAGAATTTACATGCATAACACTTAACTCCTATGCATTTAAATATCTAACACCTAAGCTTCAATTTTTACATAAATGTTGCCTTATCATACATCAAAAGTTGTATTTCACTTTTTAAGAGTTTAAATAACTGTATTTTTTATGGGATATAATAGATTTGGGTGGTATAAATATAAAAAATAAAATTTGCATGTTAGATATGGAAATACATAGAAATTAGATATATGCATGTTAATGCCCCTTTAAAAATTAAAAAAGTGGTATTTATGATGTGATATGAAGATTTGGGCGGTAAAAATATAAAAAGTAAAATTTAAATGTTACATATGTAATCTCAATCATTTAAAGTGCATCGAAAGCTAAATAGAGCAATTATAGAATAAATATGGAAGAACCTCAAATTAGAAATAAGTTATCACATAACATTTTCATGGAATTTAATCTAATCTTTTGTTATCAACAAATTTCATTAGTTCATTGGTAATAAATTTAGGATAAAACTTTTAATTGGAAAAGAAAAAAGAGAATAATACTTCAATTTTCATTTTTTAAATGTAAAATAAAAATTTAAAGTATATCATATATATACTTAGAAATTAAATCATATTTATCTAAATCTTTCAGAAAATTATCAATTCAACAAAAATCTGATGGTTGAAAATGAAGCAAACGTAATTCGTGTCCATGGTGAAAAAAACTTGAAGTGCTGCCCTGCAACATGAGCATTAGTGAATTGATCAAATTGCTCACCTCGAGGCGGATAATGCCGGAACTGGTGCTCGGAGGATCTTCAAGCAGAGCAGTGATAGCCAAATTGAGTTGCGAAACAGCCGACTCAGAGAAGGCGACGGCGGGTAACGTGCGGGTCTCGTGGATCACAACCGGTTGGTCGACGGAGACGGCACTGCCGCTTCCGTTCGTGGAGAGTGAGCACGGTCGGTACCTCTGCTGCATCATCGCTAATTTTTGTTAACGACATCATCATGACGAAGAGCATGGGGGCACTATCGCTGATTGTTTGAGATGATTAACATCTAAAAATTTTCTTCTGATAATTTTTTTGATTATTTATTTCAATATTTAAAATTTATGTGAGAAACAAAATCAGTGTATCATATAAAATTTATAAATTTATATAAAAATTGCATAAAATTTTTTATTAAAAAGCAAATTTTGAAAGCAGAAGTTTTTATCTTACAGGATCTAAGCCAAATCTTGCTTAAATCAGACAAGCTGGGATACCAATGCGAGATTTTGGACGGACAGGGCGAGCAAACACTTACATGGCGGGAACATAACAGAATGACACGATGACGGCGTGAGATGGTCGCCGGCGACCGAAAGCTGCTGCTGGCGGGGGCTGCGGGCGGCGCGTGCCGTAGCCGACATTGATGAGCTAGTAGCAGCAGAGTTCGTAGGGCCTTGGAGAGGTGGATATGGTAGGAGTATATGGCTGCAAGTAAGGGTCAAGGCGTCTTAGCTGAGGCGGACTGGCAGTCTAAAATCTTAAGATAAATGGAAATTATTTTTCTATCCATCTATCTGTCCAGATAAATTATTTTTTAAGACATCTATCACATCTACTCAGCTCATAGTCTCACCTTCTATGTAATGAATCATCATTACTATTTTAGAATTATGTCTAACTTCAACCTTGATGAAGTTATCCAAGCCAATCATTTATAGTTCATTTATTGATGTTCCCTACCATACTTCAAAACCATGAAAGCACAAACATCAAAGGTCAATGTATCGGGATAGTCGAAATACAGAAACGTCAAACGTCATTTCCTTTGATCAGATCTTTCAGTCGACCAAACAAAAGCACAGTCGAACGAATGCATATAAGGCACCCATTCCGACCTCAACTGATTTCAGAATTTTTCATAAAGATGGTCAAAGGGCACTGTAAAATACATTTTTGATCTTCTTATAAGGTCATTTGTCAAATAAAAGTTGTCTGTTAGATTACCGTGACACACTCTCTACCTGAATGCCCAAGTTCACCCTAATGATCGGAGATTTTCTAATCAAGATTTCATTAAGAGGGCGCACAGATGACCTAAACCGCCCGAATGTATGTCGATCGACCAATAATTTTTCAGTTGACTGAATCACAAGACTAACGAGTCATTAAATGCCCTTTTAAGCAGTTATGAATATGAAATGGTGCTAATGTTAGTAATGAATATAAAAAGGTGTGAGGGTCAGTTATAAATGTGACATTATGTCATAATAACATGTAATGTCCCTATTAAAACAGGGTCAAACATGAAATTTCAATAGATACCCCCAAAACATTTAAGTAGGAGTAAATTCTACAATATCGAACTATTGATTTACTCTCTCAAAATTATTATTGTTATGCTCTTTGTTTCAGCTCTCCATCTCTCTCCAACACTTCTACCTTAGATGTGATCTATAGGGCATATTTAGATTCAACATCCTAAAATATGCAGTGAATGCAAAATATGTCTTCAAGAAGAAGAGAAACATGTCACAAAGAAGAAACTCATATGGGAGATACCACAAACATGAAGCACATGAGGAAATTTGTTCAACAACAAATTCAGGACTTCGAGAACAAATGGTTGGCAAGATGGCAGAATTGACCCGCGCCCCACTTGATGGAAGTGCACAAACACTCCAAGAACAAAACTATCTGACATGAGTCAATTTTAAGTGATTTCACCTATTTTTTATTTGTATTTTAAATGTTATTTTATCTTATTTTTCATGATAATACACTTTAGAAAGATAATTTTGTTATGTTGTGTATAATACATGGCTTAAGCCACTTGGAAAAGAAAAGGAGTTGAAGTTGGACTAAAAAAATGACAAAAAAATCGGATTTGTCAAATCCAACTCTAGTCTTGAACCTGATAGATTCAACCAGCCTAGCTTGTCATTTTCTGCCACAATTCTGAATCTGGTAAATCCAACGAGTCTAGCTTGCCACTTTCACTGGATCTGGCAGATCCAGCCAGCCTAGCTTGCCACTTCCAGCCACAGTTCTGTCAGGCTTTCCAAATTCAACCAGCATGGCTTGCCACATCTAGCCACAGTCTTGGATCTGGCAGATTCACCCAACCTGGATTGCCACATCCTACCAGATACAGTCTTGGATCTAGTTGATCTAGCCTGAGTGTGACCATACCAAAACTGGCATAAACATGCATTTTTTATGCAATACCATACTAGTTTTGGGCGTGACCACACCACTGGTAACCAAAAGTGGATTTTGAGCAATTTAATGCCTGTTTTGGACCTATTAATGGTTTTTTTGAATGATCTCATGCCTTTTTTTGATCTATTGACCAATTTTGAGAGATTTTATGCCTCTTTTGGACATCTAATGCATGGCCTAAGTATAAATTCATGTTCTTTATCATTATGAGAGCACTTTTTTCATAGGGGCATTGTCTCTACAACTTGGAAAGACTTTTGGAGCTTTTGAGAGCTTTCTTCTCGACTTCAGTCGAAAGAGTATGTTTTCTTGATTATACTTTTTCTTATGATTATTTGAAGATTTTTTTTATTTTGTAAGGTGATGTTTAGTGCATTTATATGAGAGAGATTCATGATTACTTTTATTGATTTGAAAGTTCCTCGATGTATTTCAATGAACAATTAGCTCTATCTTGAGTTTTATGTATTTCTTGTTTTGTTTCTCTTTTTTATGCTTGCAATAAAAAATTTTTTGTTATCTTTTTTGATGCATTGTAAATAACATTGTTTTGTATTCCTATGATGTAAGTCTTATGAATTTCTTGTGTTTTTTTTGCTATGTATTTCTTGTTCCATAGGCGTCTTTTTAAAGCAAAACTTTCTGATGTTTTGTTAATCTTCCTATCAACATTTACTTTTTATTGGAGGTGATAAGAAAGTTAAAATTCCTCGTAAACTATGATTTCTACCCTTTGTATAATGAAACCAGTAGTTTAACCACAAAATTCTGGACTGAATAGACATATTATAGTAGGAACTTTAACCTATCTAGGGGATCAAAATAAATCTATGGAATGCTATGGGGATTAAGGGAACTTAACTTCAAGGGTTCCAATCTTATTTTTACCTACACAAAGCCATAAAGAGAACATTTACCCCTGGTTATCAACTATAGCATGGGACTCATAGAAAAACTACAAGAACCCACCTTAACTATGTCACAGGAGTATGAGCCGTGTAAATCTAAAAAAACTCAACACATTTTCCTACTATTTCTGTCTACTTTCTTTTTAAGACTGTTAATTTGTCTCCTGATTTTGATCATTTCAAAGTAAAATTAGAAATTCAGTAAACTATAACTTTGCCAGTTAAAAATATTTTTGCACTATCCACGTGAGATCAATACACGATACTCTTTAACAATATTATTATTTGACATATTTACTTGCGTGATTGACCGACTTAATTCACAGTAAATTTTCAGTCCTTAAGTTTTTAGTGTCGTTACCAGGGATAGTTATCAAAATTTTCTAACCTTAGGAGACTTTTAATTGAAATACTCAAAGTCTAAGTTAGAATATTTTATTATTTTTTATCTTTATTTTATTTTCTTTTTTTGTTGTGTTTATTTATTTATTAAAAAGATGTTTCAACACTTCAAAATGGTAAAACCTTAGGAAAACTAATTTATACCTTTTCAGGAGTACACCAACACAACGGTGGCTTGCTTTCACATGAATTTTGAACATCAAACGACAAACCTTCAGGAAAACTGGTTTATACCTTTTCAGGATTATGCTGGCCCATTTATGGCTAGCAGTCATATAAATTTTGAATACCCTGCCATAGGAACTAGGTTTGATAACCCATATTCCAGCTCCTACAACCCATGTTGGACTAGCAATGACCCAAATGTAGAAAACCAGCAGTGATGGAAAGCTCAAATTAATCCTGTAAACTATCTGAATAATCAGGATAGTGCCTACCTGAAGAAAATGAGAATTTGAACAAAGCCAAACTACGACATTAAGAAACTTGGAAAGTCAAATAGAGCAATTAGGTAAGCCTAGAATTTCAATGGATATCAGGGATAGTGGAGAGCCATAACTTTGAATCTGAAAGTGGTTCCGAGAGAGCAAGTAGAGTTGAAGAATTTTGGTGAGACAATGACTGAGGGAAAATTTGCTCATTTTTCAAAACACCCCATTGCATTGTAAGGGAGAAAGTTGAGCTTATATATATATATATATATATGTCCAATACATTAAAAATGTTAATTATATTTTTTTTTAAATATACAAACATACATACATATGTGTGTCGTGTATCCCAACTTGTTGGTTGACATCCACTGTATAAGACCTCTCCGGTCGGGGGTTTAAATCCTCTGTCACAGTTGGCTTTAAAGAGGTGGTACTCAAATTGTTAAGCACATTAATGGTGATTGGATGCTCGTATGATGTCCTCTTGTGTGTGTGTGTGTGTGTCTCTCTCTCTCTCTCTCTCTCTCTCTCTCTCTCTCTCTCTCTCTCTTATATGCATATATACATATTTGTATACATATATATATATATGCATATACATGTACATACATAAATATCTATATGCATATATACATATATGTACATATACATATATATATATATTTATATATATATGCATGCATGCATGCCTGCATGTATATTAAAAAACAAAAATATGAACGGAGATCAAAAAACAATAAGTAAACAACAATCAACATATACATCTCAGTTATATCCTACCTAAGTTCAACATGAAATAAATATAGCCACAAAAATACATTTTTATCTTCAATTAAGTTAGATTATTTTTCTCCCTGGTCAATGCTGACTCAAAAAAGATATAATTTTTCATTTCAGGCAAAAGGTCTGTACCGCATTTGGCCTCCTGAACGTGGGAAATTTCCCATATCCATTATCCATATGGAGAATAGAAATATGAAGGCACGTATGACCTCCTGACCCTATAGCCCAAGTAGGATTGTATCACCTCGGGCGATATTGGTTAAATCCAGGAACATTTGTCCTATTCGGCAACACCTTCAGTTGGCGACCACGCAAGTCAGATTCATTTAAATTAAGAGCTTCTGGAATAGCCTCCAGTTCCACAAATTCAACGTAAGCAAAACCTTTTGGCTGACCAAATTTGTCTGTCAGGATGGTGACCCGATTAACAGTTCCACATGATTGAAAATGTTGCCGAACCTCCTCAGGAGTTCATGCATAATCAACATTACCAACAAAAACCGATCTGCAATCCACCTCCTCCCTATTTGCTCCAGGTGCTGCAACATTTGCAGGATCTTGCGCGGCTCCCATCTCCTTCTCAACCTTGGCCTGCATTGTTGGTTTTCAAAACCAAATTTTAAATGCCAGCATTAAATGGAGG